TAGCAGTCCTGCTCCTAATTACGACCCAAGAGAAATGAGTGCTTGTGAAGCCAAAGACCCGTACCCACATGTCCATGGCAGCCTTCATCAAGAACCAGAATTCTGGAAAGAGCCAGATGACCATGGACAGGAAACTATGGCATTCTGTAGTCGACTCCTGAGCAGCAGGAGGAGGTGCAGCCCTGTCGTCTGCCTCCTCCCAGTGCCTGTGCAACTTCAAGAAGGGGCAGCACTGAGGTGCAGCACTGGAGTTAGGAGAGAGGGAGTCCCCTGCCAGACGGGTAGTGACTAGCAGGGTGCCTGGGGCCTGCTGGGCACTGATCTGGGGTCACGGGGGACCAGGGTTTCAGCTCTGCCAACATTGGCAGCCAGGTGATTCCTCTAATGTTTTGCGGTGTCAGGGAGGGAACTCAGCACTGCCCGTGCTAGGCAGCACTCTGCCACCTGGCCGCACCCCAGCCCCGGTGAGTCTGAGTTGTGGGGCCGCCCTGGGCAACACAAGATGTCGAGCAGTATCCCTGACCTCTCTCCACTAGATGCTGGTCGCACTTACCAAGTTTTGGCAACCAAAACTGTCTCCTGACTAGTCAGTGTCTCCGTGTGGGAGGGGACAGACAGGGAGTAAAGTCACCCCTGTGGAGAACTCCTAGCTTGCACAAATGTAAAATACCATGGAGCTGACCTGACGGCCAGTGAGTTTTCTCCCTTGGTACTAGTGATGGATTGAACCAGGTGCTCTCTACCTCTGAGCTACGTCCTCAGCCCTTTTTATTTTTTATTTTGAGAAAGGGTCTCAGATTTCTGAGTTTACAGGTGTGTACCATGACACCAGTGTGAATTTTTTGTATATAATTTCTCAGTTGAAAAGTCAGCCCTAGGGGGCTGGGGATGTGGCTCAAGCGGTAGCGCGCTCGCCTGGCATGCGTGTGGCCCGGGTTCGATCCTCAGCACCACATACCAACAAAGATGTTGTGTCCGCCGAGAACTAAAAAATAAATATTAAAAATTCTCTCTCTCTCCTCTCTCACTCTCTCTTAAAAAAAAAAAAAAAAAAGAAAGAAAAGTCAGCCCTAGGTACATGTATGAATGCACGTAGGGAGCAACACTACATTGTGTACAACCAGAGAAATGAAAAGTTGTGCTGCAGTTGTGTACAATGAATTGAAATGCATTCTACTGTCATGTATACCTAATTAGAGTAAATTAATTAATTTAAAAAGTTTTTAAAAGTTTGCCAGGCTTGGTAGTACATGCTTTTAATCCCAGCTACTCAGGAAGCCAAGGCAGAAGTTTGCAAGTTCAAGGCTGGCCTGGGCAACACAGCGAAACCCTGTCTCAAAATAAAAATAAAAAGAGCTGAGGATGTAGCTTAGTGGCAAAGCACCCCTGAGTTCAATCCCCAGTACCAAAAAAATAAAATCTAGGCCCATGCTGTCAGCCTCTGACTGTGACCTAGTTACATACACACACACAAACACACATAGAACAAGACCAAAAGTTCTGGGAGCTGCATCACAGAGGCCTCCTCTCTCACTTAGTCGCCCACACTGAAGAGTTGGTGGGTGTTATTTTCATTTTTTGGATTTGGCAGAGGGCAGACTGTGCAGAGTATAAGGGACCTCGTCTTAGCCACCCTGCAGCCCGTGTGGTCAAGCCTGATAATGTGTGAGGGTGATCAGGCCTGGGGGCAGGCCAGGGTCTGGGATAGGGGAAGAGCTGTGGGTTTCCTTCCTGACCATGTCAGGATCCCAGGGAGATAGTGAGAAGAATATTGAAAACTAGCTGGACACAGTGGGCACACCTGGCATCCCAGCTACTCAGGAGGCTGAGGCAGGAAGATCGCAAGTTCGAGATCAGCCTGGGCAACTTAGCAAGACCCTGCCTCAGAAATAAAAAGGCTGGGGACAGTTCAGGGGTATGTTGCTTTCCTAGAACGCATGAGGGGCTGGGTTCAATCCCTAGTACCAAAAAACAATACTAATAATATTATACAGGAATAAAACAGGCGCAAACCACCTGTAAAACAGGAGGCAGAGGAGCACAGGCTGCCTTGGGACCAAGTGCCTCTCTTTTAGAGTGGGCTGGGGGACCAAGAGGAAATGACCATGTGAATTCAAGCCGGCTTCAGGTAGAAAGTCTCAGGCAAGACAAGTAGCAGGCACCTACTACCAGATGTCAGGGAGATGATGCTGGGCGCCTGTGCAGGTTAGGGCCGTGGTGCGGTAAGTCTGATGTGGGCCTAAAGATGTGGGTGGCTTCACATTTTATAGTTTGAGTACTTTGTTTTCATGTAGGGTGTCGCTTCTATTAGTAAAAAAAAAAAAAAAAATGGAGGAGAGTTTCTTTGTTTTTTAACCAGTTCTTCTGCCTGCTACGGGCAGGACACTTGCAGGAGACAAGACTGGGACAGGGACCCATTTATGCATTAAGCAGAGACATAGTAAGTTAGTACGGTCCATGTTCACTCACTCAGTGACCAGCAGGGCCCCTCCCAGCCTTCTGCTCCTGGGACCTTAGCTCAGCTGCAGCAGAATGTCCAGTCCTCCTGCTGCCCTGCCCCTGTGAGGCCAGGGGAGCAGCATGGACCTTTTAGTGCCTGATAAAGTTGACAATGAAAACTCAGCCCGATGAGGCAGGAGGATCACAAGTTCAAGGCAGCCTGGGCAACTTAGGGAAGTCCTATCTCAAAATAAAAAGAGCTGGAAATGTAGCTCAGTAGTAGAGTGCCTGGGTGCCGCAGGAGTCAGTTGTCAGTGGTCTGCGCGGTGTGGAGGCGCTGCTTCTTTGTATAACTACTGACACCGTCAAGCAGAACGGCTGCATCTTTCGTTTGACTCTTGCAATCCACAGACTCTAGTGATTTGGCGCCTATCAACGTCCAGTTTACAAAATAAAATGAATTTACAAAATACCATTAAAAAGAACAAGCGCCTCTTTTGCAGTTTGAAATTTTACATTCCTGGGCTGGGGATGTGGCTCAGCGGTAGCGCGCTCGCCTGGCATGCATGTGGCCCGGGTTCGATCCTCAGCACCATATACCAACAAAGATGTTGTGTCCGCCAAGAACTAAAAAATAAATATTAAAAAAAAAAAAAAAAAGAAATTTTACATTCCTTTTGGCCCTTGAAGCTTGAATTTCCAGTTCTCATCCCCACAGAATTTCATCTAATCATATCAGCAATCAAATTGTGTGTAGAAATTTACATTTTAATTTCCTGTGACTATAGGTTCTAAATGCTACCATATTTTCTTCTGGACTGAGTGAATTTAATTATTACTACTTAAAACATTCATATGTTGTTATACATTTTGATGAGTAATTATTAAACATCAAAAGGAAAATGTAGGGGCTGGAGATGTGGCTCAAGCGGTAGTGCGCTCACCTGGCATGCGTGCGGCCTGGGTTCGATCCTCAGCACCACATACCAACAAAGATGTTGTGTCCGCGGATTACTAAAAAAGAAATAAATATTAAAAAAAAAAAAAAAGGAAAATGTAGGGGCTGAGCTTGTGGCTTAGTGATAGAGTGCTTGCCTACCATGTGTGAGTCACTGGGTTCAATCCTCAGCACCACATGAAAAAGTAAATAAAGGTGTTGTGTCCACCTACAACTAAAAAGAAATTTAAAAAAGGAAAATGTAGCTGGGCATGGTGGCACATGCCTGTCATCCCAGCAACTTGTGCAAAGGACCACAATTTCCAGGCCAGCCTGGGAGATCCTGTCTCAAAATAAAAAACAAAGCTTCTCATTCTTGAGACAGCCCACATTCTCCCTTGAATGTGTATCTACTTTCTTAAATAAACCTCTGTCTAGGCCAATCAATAAATAATAAAAGGGCTGGGGATGCATCTCAGTAGTAGAGAACCCCTGGGTTGAATCCCCAACCACAAAATAAAAATGAATGATCCTGGTGGTGTCCTCCTGAAATTCCAGCTACTTGGGAGGCTGTGGCAGGAGGATCCTCACTGAGTTCCAACAAGCCAGCTGGGCACCTTAGGGAAACCCCCATCTGGGGGGAAAAAAAAGAAGAAGAAAATAAAAGAATAAAAGGTGATTGCAGTGTCAAGTTCTTGTAGTCCCAGCTACTCGGGAGACTGAGGCAGGAAGATCTATTGAGCCCAGGAAGTCAAGATCAGCCAAGGCAGCATAGCCAGACCCTGTCTCAAAAATAAAAAGGTAATATATGTTGGAAAGGAGTCTCCAGAGAAGCTAGACAGGGCTCACTGACATCATTACCTGTACCCTTGGATGAATATTCATTATTGCAGGAGCCAGGCAAAGCCAACATCAATTCTGCTTTGGTTTTAAAAACACAGGTGCTGAGAATGTTCTCTCCTAAAGACTCAGCCAGGCAACCCGGCGCCACTCCACCTGAGCTCGTTCTGCCGTGTGTGCCAAAACCTCATGAAGAGCTCATAAGGCAGCTCCACCTTCAGGGCTGATGACAGTCTAGGACTGGAGCCACTGGCAAAAAGGACTAGTTATCCCGCAAAGGCACCTTAGCATCCACTCCCACATTTCAACTGACCTTCCTTGGGAGTCAGGAGGTCCCCCGCGCAGCCTCAGCAGCCACAACTCTGCTTTTGGGGAAGATAAGGGAGGGAGGAAATTTCCTGGGAAATGGTGGGGCGGCAGTGCCCTGCTTGGTGGCTTAAGGGAAGGGCCAGCGGAGCTCAGCATCCGCCCATTGCATGTTCTGGGTGCTTTGGGAGCTCCGGGTGACCCTCCAGGGGCCGGGCATCTCACTGAGAACCTCCCTCGGGGCAGGGTCTCTTTCCCTGTATTGTATTTTAAAAAGATGCCCTCGGGTCACCCCAGTCCAGGTGACTTTGCCATCCCTTAGTGACCCCCGGAAGGCACCAGCCTGGTTTAAAGCCACCCCGCTCCCCCACTGCAGGCTTCTCTGGCCGTGGGTCGGGGTGGCTGCAAACCCCACACCCTAGCGGAGGGGCGGGGCTTGCAGGGCCCCCAGCCTCCTGACGCCTCTCTTCCCCCGCAGTGTACCACTGGGTGGAGATGCGGACCAAGATGCGCATCATGGGCTTCCGGGGCACAGTCATCAAGCCGCTGAATGAGGAGGCGGCCGCGGAGCTGGGCGCGGAGCTGCTGGGCGAAGCCACCATCTTCATCGTGGGCGGAGGCTGCCTGGTGCTGGAGTACTGGCGACACCAGATGCAGCAGCGCCACAAGGAGGAGGAGCAGCAAGCAGCCTGGAACGCGCTGCAGGACGAGGTGGGCCGCCTGGCCCTGACACTGGAGGCGCTGCAGGTGCAGGTGCAGGTGGCGCCGCCGCAGGCCGCCCTGGAAGAGCTGCGGGCCGAAGTGAGGGAGGTGCGGGCCCAGCTCGCAAGGCCTGCGACCCAGGCAGTGGCGCCCCAGGCAGTGTCTTCGTCCAAGATGTAGGAGGCTGCGGAAACCTGAACTTGGATGTGGCCATGTGTGCCCCAACGTGGCCTTCTCCCTGCACCAACTCTGCCTGAGCTGGCCCCGGGGAAACCATCGGGATCTTAATGCAACTTGGCATCCGGTCACTCCCACTGACCAGACGGTGGAACCTTCCCCTGGGACCAGCCCCCAGCGAATGAAGCGTTCCTGTGGAGCCCCTCCAGCCTTTACCACTGCTGCTGCCGTCCACACTGTTCATCCCCACTCAAACCACCCCAGCCTACACACAGGGCCTTGGCCAGCAGCCGTGGCTGTGCTGTTCTGGCAAAAGAAAAAATGGAACCTGAGCTTAAGCCGAATCATCTTGTCATTATCTTATCCCCCAGGTACTTGATCAGCATGGCCTTTCCCAGGCCCATCCAGCAGAGGAACCCTCTTGCCCCTTGTCAGTTGGTACCGAGCACAGTGGGGAACTGCGCGGCTTTCTCTCCCCCCACCTAGAAGGTCAGCTACAGCTGGGCTTACCTTTCCCCTCAGCTTGATCCAGAACCTTCCAACAGAACCCTCATCCATTAGTCCGTGGCACAACCCACTAACCCACTGTCATGGCTCTGCAGGGTCTTTCTTCTCTGCAGAGTCCCCAAGATGTCCATTCCACGGTGGAGAATGTGATCCTGGCTGGGCTTCTGTCTTTCAGTCTTAACCTGCCACCTTCCCTGTCCTCAAAGTCCCTGGCCTTGGGCTGAGACCTGTGCCCTCCCCCATCTTCCCCACAGCATTCCTCAGGAGCCTCTCCCACCAAGGATTAGCTCTGCAGGTCCCCATCTGCTCCTGCTGTCCCTGGGCTGCTCCACAGCCCCTGTGTCAGGACCCTCCTGCCTCAGGACTCTCTGTCCTGCTGGACAAGACTGCCAGGTGGTCTCGCCTCTATTTTGAGTTTCCAGGACCCCGGCACACACTTAGGAATGTGATGGCTTTAAACCTCAGGAGCATGTTCTGTCTCAGTTCTGGAAGCCGGAAGTCAAGGTGTGGTGGAGCCATGCTCCTCCTCCTGGCTTCTGCCTCCATGTCCTATGGCCTTCTCCTCCTAGTAAGGACACCCGTTAGCTGAATTTAGGGCCCACCCTGAATCCAGGATGATCTCGCTTCAAGACCCTTAACTTACCTACAAAGACTTTTCTCCCAAACGGGGTCCCATCCACAAGTTCTAGGCCATGAACTTATCTTTAGGGGGCCCACCATCTAATCAGTTATGCTTCCCCATCCCAAGATTCATGAAGAGCCTACAACCCCCTGGGTCCTATGGCCTCCCCACCGGGTGAGAGGAACAGCCCAGCAGCTTACTTTACCGCTCGGCTTCTCTTTCCCCAGTTCCCACCCAGAGAGCCATCAGCATTCTGTGTGACTTCCTGGTTAGGACACCCCCACGCCCTGTGAAGGTGGCATCTTAAAGATGCGTCCCAGAACCACAGATCTCCAGAGTCAGCCCAAAGCTCGTGAACATTAGGAGAGAAGCTGGGAAGGTTCTGGTGGGAAGGGGACCAGGAGTCGTCGTATGAGCTCGTCCCCACCTGGGGACACTGAGGCCCCGGGGAAGCAAAGAGGTTTGTCTAAGTGCCCCAACCCAGGAGGAACCAGCTGCCCCAGGAGTGGGCAGAACCCAAGGGAGGGAAAAGCCTCTGTGCTCTGGGGCCCAGGTCACCTGACTGCAGCTGCTCCAGGTGGAGGAGGAGGACGGTGATAGGCAGGTTACTGGGCAGAAGAGGGGAGACGCCTCTACCCAGAGGCACTGGGGACCTGCATCCCCTCTCAGAGCAGCCCCAGATTACACCCAAGATCTCAGCCTCCAGCGAATAGGGCAGGTTTGCCCACTGTGCCCACTGCCACGCAGCTCCAGGGGAGGGTGCGAGGGGCGGGACTGGCCTCCCTCTTCCCACTTTGCCAGGGGAGTAGAAACCACCTGGATGCAGAGCTGCCCCAATAGAAGACCAAACCACAGGGGTTCTGAGACCAAGTTTGATTCCTTCTAGAAAAGGGGGAGCAGCTGGTGTGGAGGAAGCCGAGGACGTAGGTCCCTTCAAAGCTGGGAGAGGCCTAGGTATGTGAACAGATGGGGAAAAGGCCAGGACAGAGGGTGCTGCGGGAGGGGTGGCAGTGGAGCCAGAGAAGGAGGCCCCTGCAGGTCCACCCGCCCTGACATCTTGGTGGAGGCCAGGGGCTCTGGGCACCCTGGTGTTAGTAAGCACAGTTATCCAGCAGGTCAAGTGCACCGAGCTCTGGGTAGATGCCGGCAGCATTCTAAGTGCTTTGAGTGATCCCCATGTCATTGATGAGGAAACCAAGACACAGAGAGGGAGGGTCACCTGTTCAAGTCGCCCAGGCAGAGAAGAGGTGAAGGTGGGATGTTAACTTGGACAGTCCAGGCCTGAGCCCCAGGTGCTGACCCTGGTTGAGCTGGAGCCTTCAAACTTGGCCTGGCATGTCCTGACAGGTGGCCGGTGTGGGCAGCTTCCCCGCTGTGGTGGTGGGTCCTGTGGGGGGTGGGATCAGAGTGTGGAAGTGCACAGAACCCCCTCAAAACGCCTGAGGCCAAAAGGTGGTTCTGGGCACTGGTTTCCTGCTGGCTGCGATCCTGAGATGTGGGGAGAAGGTTAGAATAAATATATTTATGGAGCTGGCTGGTCCTCAAGTTGATGCATCCTTTTTTAATATATTTTTTAAACATCCCTGTTAGCCTTTAAAAAAAATGTACTTCATTTACTCTCTCATTTTGGAATGTTCCACTGAATTGCCCTCCGTATGTCCCACCCTGTTCTGCCCCACCTTGGGGTCAGGGTTGTGACTGAAACAGCCCCAATCCCACCTTCACGGGGCTCAAGTCCAGTGGGGGGACAGGTGCGACTTTTCTCTCCCCCTCCTGTGGATGTTTAGGAAGGGGCTGGGCTGAATCCAGACGCCCCTCCCCAGTGACTCAGGACCTCAGAGTATGAAGAACGGAAACCTATTCACACCAACTCATGTCTCATGTCCTGAGGCTCTGCCCCTCCCATTTCCTGGCAGACCCCGTTGTCCCCTGCGTTCATTTCCCTGTTCAGCAGACCCTCACCTAGAGGAACCAAGATGGCTGAGAGCCACCCCAGGAGAAAATGGCCTTTACAAAAGCTCCAGGCAGATCCCCTGGCCCACAGGTCCCCCTGAGCTGGCTACAGTGAGGTTGGGTGGCCAGGAATGGGACCCCAGCCCCAATGGCTTGGGAACGTGGACAAAGGGAGAGAAGCACACTGAGAGGAGGACGAGGGTGTCCTCGTGCGCCTGTGAGGAGCCTGCCTGTCTGCTGAGCATGGTGTGTGCGCTCGCAGGGCTGCAGCCTCCATCTGGGGATCAGCCAGAGCAAGACCAGGCTGGTGCCTGCCATCACGGAGCCAGCTCTAGTGCAGGAGCTGAAGAGCCAATCCAGTGTTGGGCCCAGGAGCTGGGGACAGGAATGGCTTTGTGGATCAGATGGTCAGGGGGAGCAGCTTGAGAGGAGCCCTGAAGGCAGCTGCTGGGAAAGAGAGTTTACTGTGGAACAGCAGGAGATTGTGGCTGCCATACAGAACAGAGTTGGCAGAGGATGGCGGCCCCTGAGCCAGCTCAGGCTGCCTGCTGCCTGTCTTTATACATAAAGATTTATTAGAACACAGCTGTGTTCACTCGTTTTCTCATTTTCTACCCTTTGTACTACCGTAGCAGAGCTGAAATAGTTACTTTCTGGCCCTTTACAGAAAGCCCTTACCAACCCCACAATAGGACAAGGGCAGAGGGCTGGGTGAGGGGTCAGGCAACAGAAGCCGGCCCTTTGGCCTCAACAGGCTCCACGCTGCAGGGTCACACCAGCTCCGGAGCACCCCATGGGCTTGCTGAGGCCTGCAGGACACATAGCCACCCCCACCACTTCCTTCACCCCACTGGAACTGTCCCCACCAACTGCACGTGCCTCTGAGCCTCCATCCAGACCCCTGGCAACCAGCCACCGCAGGAGTTGGAGAAGCCAGAGCCGTGGCGCATGCCTGTGACTCGGGAGGCTGAGGCAGGAGGACTGCAACCTCAGCAACTTATGAAGGCTGTAAACTCAGTGAGACCCTGTCTCCAAATAGAAAATAACAAGGGCTGGGGATGTGGCTCAGTGGTTAAGCACCCCTGGGTTCAGTCCCCAGACCATTAAAAAAAGAAAAGTTTATGTAATCCCTCAAAAACATACATATTTATTGGCAATTCTTCCTATATATGTATTATAAGTATTGTATAATCCATGAATTGTGTGACATAGTACATAATGAAATATATATATTTTTATGTAACCTGACACTGTATACTACTGTTGTATATACACATATGTATCTCGCTGGAATGAAGGTCTCACTAATTACCCTGCAGTGCAGTCCCATATTTCCTGTTTCACTGTATCCATTTCATGAAGAAGAACTACAGATGCACATGTATTCTGTACCTAATAATGTGAGGCAGAGGCCGAGGATCCGAGGAGCCCACAGGTGCCAGGCCAGCCTGGGCAGCACAGTGAAACCCGTCTCAAAAAACAAACAAGAAACAACAACAAAATAGGGCTGGGGGTAGCTTGGAGGTGGAGCACTTCCCCAGAGTGCTCGAGCCCTGGAGTCCCTCCCCAGCACTGTAAAAACAACAAACAAACACATTGTGTGTAATAGAGGTCCTGGGTTACGTGTCACTACCATACACAGCTTAAACCCAGTTAGAGCAAACCAACCTGCGCACTGGGGGATGCCCTGGGCCCCGTGAGCTGAGCCAGCAGGAACCAGGGGAGGAGCACAGGAGCAGGAGCCAAAAAGGAGGAAGGGGATGGCATCCTGCGTGGAGACCCTGGAGGTGAGCAGGAGGCGTCTGGGCCCATTCCTACTCCCCGGGGAGAGCAGGCAGGTTCTGCCAAGCAGTGGGCTGTGGGCCGCTCACCCCACGGACTTCAGGTTCTGGGGTGAGCACCTGGAAGGAAGGCAGTTCCACAGCCTGAGGCGCGAGCTCGGGCAGATGGAGAGAGCCCTGCAGCGCCGGCGCCCTCTTGTGGCTGATGTTGCTGGCTGTGATCTGGGGCCGGTGGTGACCAAGGTGAACGTCTTCCACTTCATCATCACATCACTGAGCGGTGCCCGCCTCATCTCGATGTTGACTTCTCCACCAGGCCCTCTCCTGGTGCCTCCATTTTGGACATCCTGGGGGAAGAGGGCAAATAGACAAATTGGGACCCAGGTCCAGGGACTCCCTTGACCCCGTGGCAGTGGCTCCCGGAAGCACCAGCCCAGGAGCGCACCAGGGGGCACTGTGGGCTCTGTCCTGTCCAGGATGCCGTCTTGCGCTTCCATCTGTGTTTTTCTACGTTGTACAGACTTTTCATAAAAGTTCAGCCAATTCAAAGAAGCCAAGGTCCCCTCCCTGGAAGGAATCCTGTCTGTGTTGGGGGATTCCGGCCGACCCCATTCAGGAGCAGACTGGCCTTCTGAGCCTACTCAAGCACCGCTGCCTCCTGGGCACCAACACTGTCCACTTCTTCCTCTCAAAATCAGCAGCTGGCACGCGCCGCCCAGCAACAGCTGTGCACATTTGCTCAGGGAGAGAGCAACCCATGAAAACCTGAGTATGCTGACAACCTCCCAGAGGCTGCTCAAAGGAGGCAGAGCTGCGCTTCTGTAGGGTCAGGGTTTCTAGAGCTCTGCAGAACAAAGATGCTCGTTAACAAAACTGTTTGTGCACTGGAAATTTGCTGAGAGAATGGATTTCAGGTGCTTGTACCAGAAAAAGAAAAGAAAAGGCGATTTGGGAGGTGATGGATTTGTTAATTTACTAGCCTGTGATAATCATTTCACCCTGAATATGCAAATGTGATGCATACCTTAAATGTGTACAATTTTTAAAAAAGAGTTGGAAGCCAGCACCGTGGTGTGCCCTGTCATCCCAGCAGCTCTGGAGGCTGAGGCAGGAGGATCACAAGTTCAAAGCCAGCCTCAGCAAAAGTGAGGTGCTAAGCAACTCAGCGAGACCCTATCTCTAAATAAAATACAAAATAGGGCTGGGATGTGGCTCAGTGGTCGAGTGCTCCTGGATTCAATCCTCAGTACAAAAAAAAAAAAAAAGAGTTGGAAGCCAAAAGTAAAATATAAAACTAAATGAAAACATTCATAGTTAATTTTTGAAAAGCTAAAGTCTCTGTGGAGCAACAGAACTGTGGCCACTGGGAATTGTCACACTTTAAGACTTTTCAAAGCTGAGCCCTGCACAGTAGAACTTCATTCTTGTCTTGATCTGTACCTCCCTGCTCGCCTGCGGGCTGGTCGTCTTCTCAGCCACTTATTGGATATTTGTCTGCTTGTTAAAGTGCCTGTTTTCACCATCTGACCATTAATACTTCTTCTGGTGTTCTTTGCCTCACTGAGGTTTTCCATTTTAAAACAACGAAATCACTGGGGGAGGTGGCACCTGAAATCCCAGCTGCTCAGGAAGCTGAGGCTGGGGGATCACAAGTTCAAGGCCAGCCTCAGCAACTTAGCAGGACCCTGTCCCAAGTTAAAAAGTCTTAAAAGGAGTGGAAGCCTGGGCCTGGGCAGCAGCTCAGAGCTTCAGTGCTTGCCTCGCACGAGGCCCTGGCTTCCACCCCAGCACACACATTCATTCTTTCTGTCTTCATTTGACAAGGGCACCTCTGCCTCAGGGATTTATATCTTCAACCCACCTTTCTAATATTTTAATTCAAGTCTTCTTTGTACTTAAGTCATTCACTGAGAGCACTTTGTTTTGTTTTCAGTACTGCGGATTGGACCCAGGGGTGCTTTAGCACCGAGACACATCCCAGCCCTTTTTATTTTTTATTTTTTTTAATTTTTAAAACACTTTTTGGGGGACTAGGGTTATGGCTCAGTGGTAGAATACTTGCATAGCATGTGTGAGGCCCTGGGTTCAATCCTCAGCACCACATAAAAATAAATAAAATAAAGATATTGTGTCCATCTACAACTAAAAAATATTTAATTTTTTTTTTTTGATACAGGGTTTTGCTAATTGCTGAGGCTGGCCTTGAACTTACCATCCTCCTGTCTCAGCCTCCAAGATTGCTGGGATTACAGACGTGCACCACTGTGCCTGGCCCTTTTCTTTGGTTTTGAGACTGGGCCTCACTCTGTTGCCCAGGCTTGCCAAGAAATGCTGGGCTCAAGTGATCCTTCTGCCTCAGCCTCCCCAGTAGCTGGGACTACAGGTGACACCACCACGCCCTGCAACCTTTGGGTTTTGAATGACAAGAGCTTGAATATATTTCTGATCTCTTCCAAAGTATATCTGGTCAATGCAGCCGATTCACTGTCATTGTCAAACTTAGCTAAATCACTCTCGTGACGTTGTGCCTTGGTGGCATCTTGTTTTTGAGGTGCTGTCACCAGCCTTGGCAACTTTCGAGACCCTGTCTGAAAATAAAAAATATAAAGGGCAGGGGACGTGGCTCCGTGGTTAAGCACCCCGGGTTCAATCCTCAGTATTAAAAACAGAAAAAAGTTAAAGATTGAGAAGAGGCGGGCTCTGTGCCGGCTCCAGGTGCTGCCCCCCAGGACCTTCCCTGTGCAGTTCCGGGGACCCTGAGCCCTGACCCTTTGTGTTCTGCTGGGGCCCAGCAAGGCCTGTCTGTTCAGATTCCTCATGGGTAGGACCTCTGGAATGAGGTGTCCTATGACCTACTGTTGCACAAGACTAGGTCAGAATGTCACAGGAAACGCCATGTCGCCAGAGAAGGACCTGAGGAGTTCCCAGAGGGAAGGGGGAACCCGACCCGGGGGGTCTTTGCCTCCATGTTGGAAGAGCATCTCAGCACTCGCCAGGCAGAGGCATAGCCGGGTTCATTGAGGAAGTGGATAGGCACTGAATGAGGCCCTGCCTCAGCTGGGGGTCAAATATTCTTGGAAGGGCTGTAGTTAGGAGGGGAGGGGAGGTGGGGCCGGTGAACTTCTCTTAGCTTTCCCTGCACTCGGGTGTTTCCTTCATTCCACAAGGTCACGGACCGAGGGCTGTTGCCCGAGATTTACAACTGCACTTTCTGCATCCCAGTGGCTCAGTATATCTAGCTCAGATTCTCTCTCTACATATATCCTAATACCTATTTGAAGAGGATTTCTTTATGGCCAGCTAAAGACAGGGGAAGATTAGAGTTTTTTCTATGATCTACCTTGGGAAAGAGAAATTCTAGTTTCTATGGCCTGCCTTTGGGTGTAAACAGAAGCTATGGTTGAAAATATGTATCATCAGGAGGCTGAGGCAGGAGGATCACAAGTTTGAGGGCAGCCTCAGTAACTTAGCAAGGCCCTAATCAATTTAGCAAGACCCGTCTCACAATTAAAAAAAAAAAATAGAAAGGGCTGGGATGTGGCTTAGTGGTAAACACTTCTGGGTCCAATCCCCAGTTCCCCACAACCACCCCACTGATATACAGATACACACACACACACACACACACACACACACACACACCACACACACGTGTATATACATCACAGTGACCAGTGCAAAGCCCTGGAGAGGTGGGCGTCACCTTCAGCCAGGTGAGGGTCCATTTATGAATCCCTCTCCTGAGGATCTGAAGCTGAAGCAGAGGGGAGGCTGTTCTAGACAAGAGGACACAGCATGTGCAAAGGTCCTGCTGCCAGAGGGCATGGTCAGAATATGTGGAGAAGTAGAGGGTGGGGTGCCACGAGGCGGAGGGCTGGCTGGTGCAAAACCTAGAGTCCCGGGCTAGTGGGGGCCCTGAAGTACTGGGGAGTCCTGCTAGGCTCTTCTGTGGGCTTGTTATTAGTTTTGTCTACCCAGAGTCGCAGAGTGGGGTGGGGCCTACGGGAATGAGGATGAATGCGCCCAGGTTTGGCAGCCCTCTGTGTGGGGTTCTAGAAGGGGCAGGAACTTCTTCAGGAGCTCCCCTTGGGTCCATGTGCCACAAGCCTGACTCCTCCTTTCTCACCTGCGCCCCTGGCTGGGGCTGCACCTGGCAGGTGTGTGCCCTCCTCCCCCTCAGCTGCTCACACCCATTCAGCTAGTTTCAAAACAGCTTAATTGAGATACTCATACTCCAGACCTTTCACCTGTTTAAAGGAAACAATTCAGTGGTTTCTAGTGTATTTTCAGATTGTGCGACCATCACAACTGATTTCAGAACATTCTCTTCATCCCCAAAGAACCCCAAGCTCATCAGCCGTCGGTCCTCATGTCCTCCCTCCCCCAGCCCCTGGCACCCCACCCTCCTGTCTGTCCCTGCGCAGACGTTTCGTGTCAATGCAGCGGCACCCTGTGCGGCCAGTGTGGCTTCTCCCACGTACCAGAAGCTTTTCCAGGGCCTCTGCCCGCAGCACTGCCCCGGCGTCATTC